GAGCAAAGGGAGAAGCGCAAATTTTCGCACCTACACGCCGTATTATTCTATTAAGTGGGGGAGTAGCAACAGAGCCAATAACACTCAAAACAACTTTGCGACTGAACAACATACTCGCCTGTTTTTTTTTATCTTTTATTTAAGCTCTAGTCAAAAACCTGGCGCTCTGAGGAGGCATAGATATTTTTTTGCAGTTCGTTCAAGACGGAGCTACCGCCTCCCTGGAGGGACTCCAAGAGGGAACGCTTCACGGTCAAGAGAGGATTGCTGCGTTGTTCGACGGCCAACGTCGAGGGCACCGTGCAGCCTGGGAGCCGCCAGGGCGTGTCGCTCACCTCCCGCAGTGGCACATATTTGCCGATGTCATCCGGCACACACGTGGACCGCAAAAGGCGAGTGGTTCGCTCGGCCGCGCGCAATGCATTGCGATACTTCCGCATTTCTGGGTTGACCTCCGCCTTGTTTGGGTCCTTCGCATGCAACTTCAGAAGTTCCCCGATAAGGCGCTCCGTGTACTCGTGCCCCACATATACTAACACATCTTCTGCCGAGAATACTTTCTTCGTTGCAGGATGCGTTCGCAAGCGCTCGCTAAAAAACAAGTCCCGTGTTTGTGCCACCTCATCGACGGCAGTCACCTCAAACATGGCACCGCAACCTCCGCAAAAGATGCAATCCCCCGTGAAAAGTGCCAGACGCTGCGGAGCACTAGGCTCCATGTGAGCGTCTCCAACAAGAAACATAAGAGAACCAGCGGTATGCCCAGGAGAAGAAAACACGGCAGCCGTCACGCCTCCACCTGCGACCGTCAACACCTCGCCACCCTCCACGAAGTCTGTACATGCATGAGGTTTGTCAGTCATGGAGCCGAAGATCTTCAACCGTGCATCCACGAGTTCCGTATGTTCCGCAGCATTTTGGTTTTGTGCAGACTGCAGGAGCTCCAGATTACCTCCTGCGTGATCCCAATGCTTGTGGGTGGTCAGGATTTCTGTCAGCACAAAATTAACCTTTGTTAAGTACCGGACGACAGTCAGCATGTACAGTACAAGCTTGGGGTCAGCTGGGTCAACCACGGCACACTGCTTCGTTGCGAAACTCAAAAGCAAGTATGCGTAATTGTCCGTCAGGAGAGGAACTGGAACGACAGCGACCCCCCTGTAGCCTTCCTTGTATGAGTCACCAAGACTCTTCAGGTCAACCAACCCACCCCCACGTTCATAAAACTCTGAGTTTGTCTTTGATTCCACAGGAAACAACAATGATGCCTTGTGAACACCACTCAGACATCGCACACCATGGCGGTAGTCCGAGTGGGGAAGGCTTCGACGTGCGTGCAGCATCGGCCGCATGTAGGTGTACCCAACAGCATCACTGCAATACACACGATACACCCAAGTAAAAATATTGCTCTTGAACCACGCCTTGGGAAAGTACTCGTTTTCCGGCACGATGCCTGAGAGATAAATGAAGCAGGTCATGACCACGGTGGTTGGCACGCTTGCCATCCCTGTCAAGCAGAGTGAGCCAAGTCCCCCAATGAGGAGTGAGGGACCTATGAGCTGTTGCAGTCCCATTCCGCCGCGTGCAACTGGACTCGTCATGGAGTTCCACACCTTTGGCTGCAGTCATGCGAAAAAAAAAGCATGGGAAACCCGTCGTATAGAGAAGCAAATAAAGAAGGAGGAGTATGTAGGTGCAATTGCCAACGTGCGTATGAGTGTGGAGGACCCAACAACGACAAAGTCGCATCCCTCCAAAAAAAAAAAACAGGCGCAACATACAACTGCCAACCCGCACAAAATGGGGCAATGTGTGTGTGTATATATATACATATAATATTTCGTATATATTATTCATTCCCGTATGGGGGCGGAAAAGAAGTATTAAAGAGAGGAAAAAAATGCCAGGGAATAATTTTATTCGAGATGCGGGGCCAAATCGTCAGCAAAACGATCAAAAACAAAATAACAGCAAGAGGTTAAAAAACGAAAAAGAAGGCGCAATAATTAGTCCCTCTCAAAAACAATGGCGAAAAGCAAAGAAAAACTGGGGAGAAGCACCAGTCGTCAATGTACGCACGGACTCCCCGTGCTCACCCGAAGAGCGTGATCGGCGCACAATACAGGCAAACTGTCAGCAAAGCAGCACCTCATACAGATTGTGCGCATTAGTGCATCCTTCTCGTTGTCGTATGCATTCATAGCAGAAAAACAGTGAAGATACAAAGTGGGGTGGGGGGGGGAAGGGAATAGAGGTAGTATTCAATGTACCTTGAAGCGCGTCGTTCCTTCGCTAACCATTAATACACATTGCAACAACAAAAAAAATACAATACAGAGAACATACAACGCAAGCACGATACCACGAACTGTTACACACGAAAGCAGCGGGGAGTTGTTCATATTCCCTCAGAGTTTCTCTTGCCGCCGTATTGTAGCGGTGCATATGCTCTTAAGACTCGTCATGTGCACATGTGGATGAAGGGAAAAGAATGTATACATACATATATAATAGAAGCGACGGAAACACAGCGAAAAAAAAAGAAAGAAAACAACAACAACAACAACAAAAAAGAAGATAAGGGCCAATTAATGTGCAGTGGCAAGAAATAATACGAGAAAAAATAAGAGAGAGCAACGCCAATTCTGTAAATTTAGTGGTTTTTCCTTCCTCACCCTCCCTTCGTGAATGGTATGACAAAGTCCTGCGGCGTGCATGTGGGCGCGTGGGATGGTGGAAGGGAGGAAGATGCGGTGGGCCCATGGACGGGGTGGAAAAAATTCGTTTGCAGTGCGCGCCAACCCCCGCCCCTGGCAACGCCAGAAAACAACTTCTGTTCAATTTTTTTGTCCTCCTCACTTCTGAGGAAAGGAGTGGAGAATGAACCGCAGATGCCAGCGTTTCCAGCTTTTCGCATGGAAAAACGCTTCCAGAGAAAGCAACCGTGATGAAATAGCAGACATAACAGTTGTTTTCTTCTTCTTCTTTTTTGTTTTGCTCTTTTTCCTCTATGCCGAGTGAAAATCACTGCGTTGCTGAGGTTGTGTGGGGCGGCGCAACCAAGCCATGGGGATAGACTTCATTCTGCTCCAGGATGCGATCCCGGAGCTCATCCAGTTTGCGAATAGCCATATCCACATAACTGTCCAACTCGTGCATCGCGACACAGCGTAGTCGACCATCCTTCACCAACTCCAACTCCACCCCTGCCACCGTCAAAGCGTAGGTAAGGCTCAAATCCTGAAGCGTTCCTAGAGGCACTCGATCTCTATTGCGTTTTAACAACGTGAGATTCTTCTTGTACATATCGATTTCGTCTAGCGTAGCCAAAGTCGCGACTGTCATCGACCCGGAAGAAGGGTCGTAGTATATTCTGCGCCGTTGGTTTTGTATAGGCTCAGAAATTTCCATCGCGGGCAGATGCGAATATGCGGGTGAAATCCCGTCGGCGGGTTCAAACCCTGCAGTTCTCTCCGCTTGAGCTGAAGGTAAGGAGTGTTTAGACGCAGCCGAATCAATGAATTGGAGGCGGTTTTTTTCATAACAAATTCGTTCCACAAATTCTTTTTGATTTGACCTCGAAACAGGAATTGCTTCTCCGTGAGGCAAGAGTTTGTAGAGCCCTTTTCCAGAAATGGGAATGGCAAAAAACAATGGCCCTCTAAGCTCCCTTGCCGTGTCGTTTTCATTGTTGCCCGAAGCGGCATTCGCAATACGGAAGATCTCATTGGTTGCATCCTCTGGGCCGAGGGTAAACGTATTCCACCGAGGAGAATTCTGCGGTGGGTATCGATAAAGCGATTCCATTTCCCTCGCAACGGTCGGTGGTGCATGATGTAATGGCACCATGTGCCTCTCGGTGGTTAGAATTTCGTTCTGCACGAAGGCGGCGTGAATCATTTCCCGCTTCTGAGACAAGCAGTAAACGTACTCCTCCACATTCTCTTCAGTAACGCCGATGGTATCCCCGCACTCTTTGAGAAAAATATCCTGGCCCAGGACTCTTATTGCAAAGCACAGTCCCACAGCTTCGGCAGGGTTCTTCCTGACGGCTTCCACATCATCCCAGAATTTTTTCTCCGATGGCGGCATGTTGTCCATGAGTGGATGTGGCGGGAGTGCAGAGGTGCAGGGGTGATTCGGCGTCGGTGTCATGGCAGTCCCCATCAACTTGGCGATTGCCAAGTTTACAAAGAGGTCCTTGTCTTCGTAGGCCACTGGCTCATGCTCTTTGCCAGGTATGAGAGGGACAAAGGTGTTTCCCACCGGTATGCTGTAAGTAAGGCCAATTGCATTAAATTCTTCCACGCTTAACACACGCCCAAAAGGTCCGTTCATCCGCTGCAACGCGTATAAGAAATCCAAGTAGCCGCGCGACCTCAGTGACAGCTCCTGCTGGTGAAGTTCTTCCAGAGGAGGATAAAAAAAATGCACGGGGAGTTGATGCACTGCCATGAGCTGCTGCAACAGCCGCATTGCATTTATTCCAAAGCGTTTGGCATTCCAGTAGGGAACCAGTGCATTATGCTGCCCAGGAAAAACATCCAACAACTGCCCGTTGAAGGGTAGAGAATAGGTCACGTGGAGGGCGTTCCAATCCTCCTCATTGTCAATGTACCACTCTGAAGAGGGGTTCAAGAGGTGGTTGGCGATAAAGCAGGCCACTGGGTAATAGTCCCCACTGAGGTGCAGCTTGGGATCAATGGGCAAGTCACGCAGCAGGGTAGGCACATTATGTCGCATACTCTGAACCAGATTTAAAAAATACTTGTGATTTTCCACGGTAACCTTGACAGAGCTCCCGTTGGGAAAAATTTCTACCATCGAGCCATCCTCATTTGGGCAGGCAAAGAAGAGCTTTCGCCCATCTAACGCTGAGGCCCCATGACATTGCAGCCGCAGCAAACACTGATTGAAGTCTTCCACAACAGCTTGGTAATAATTTTCCGCGTGTTGTTGCAGGCCACTTTGCAGAACTTCTAACACTTTTCTCGGGGAGCGCAGCTGTTGCTTCTCAACGTCCCAAATCGCCAGGTCCACGAGTTTTGAGAGAAATGAACGACAGAGGCACCCACCCAATGGGAGTCCCATGGAAGCCTCCTCTCCGTTTGCCATCCTCTCTCGTCCGCTTTGCCTCCCACGCTTAGCCCTCCGTTAGTTGTTTTTTTTTTGTTTGCCCTTTTTTTTTGAGGAAGGGGCGTGCCTTTTTCACCTTCCCTTCTTCACTCACGGAACCCTTTGCCCGCCCCTTCGCTCCTCCACTCCGCGCCGCTGCTCCCGCAGACTGGAGAGAGCTGACGGCAACACCGACAGGCAATACGTACGCAACCTTTGGGTTAGGCCAAAGAAGAGAGTGAGACAACGTGCGAAGGTAATTATTCCCAAAATTTCCGGAGTAAAAACAAAATAAAATCAAACGCAGACCCTTTTCCCGCAATAAGGGACAGTTCAGCAAGAGCCACACCTGTAAAACAAGAAACACACACACACACACACGCACACAAACACACACAAAATACCAGACACAAAAAAGAAAGAGCAGAATAATAATAATATATATATATATATGCCTATATACATGCCTAGGTTGCTGGTTTGCTGTTCTGGTTAGTTCAATACCCCTCACGTATTCTGAAAAAAAATAAATAAATAAAAATCCTCGATTTCTCCCTCCACACCCCATTTTTTTTCCTGTTTTCGTTTTGATCATGTTCAAGTGTTCCACTCCCCTACAGACGCCCCCCTTCAAGCGTGGTGTCCCATCTCTCAGCGACGCCACCACTCACGTGTTCATCGACCCTCGCCCAGTATTACTTTTTTTTTTCTCTTGCCACAATCCCCTGCTTTCGTTTTCTCGCGTTTTTCCCAAGATGGCCTTGCACGTGTGTGCCAGCTCAAGGGAAACAACGGGCTCTGGATAATAATCTACAACTTGGAGACGGAAAGCAAACGAATGCGCTGCGACGCCTTCCATACGCCTTCGGGCGGCAGGCTTACCTTCGTCGTGATGGAGCCGTGCTCCACGCAGACAAATTTCTTGTAGCCGTCCGCGGGAAGATCCTTCATTTTGGCCGTTTTCAGCACCCAGGGGTTCCACACCACGACATCTGGAAGGTGCTCACTCGATATATGCGTTGTCCGACGTTTTTTCATATCCACCAGCAATACGGCACAGGTTTGATTCTTGTAGATGCGATCCACTTCTTTTTTCAAGCCCCACAGCTGCTGTGGAGCCTGCAGCCTCCGTTCTTTTAACAGGTTGTCGATAAATGGAGTCAAGTTGACCCCATTAACCAGAGTATGTGTAACATCTTCAACCGCAAAATATGTGTGAAACGCGAACGTGAAATTAACATTCGCCTGAAGAACGTGACTTGTGACTTCCATCTGAAGCTGCAGCTGCTCATTGCTGAATGTGATGGTGTACAACAGGGAAACGTTGCCTGATGGTGAGATGGCCTTGCCTTGTTGCACTTCCGTGTTCTGCGTCTGCATATCACTTGCGGGCACCTCCAGGGTGAAGGACGCCATTCCGCTGCGTACATCCTTCAGTTTCCACTCACGAATACGCGCAAAGCCGTGCGAGCGAAGCGGTCCAAGACCGCCAAACTGCGGAAAGATGACGGGAACCCCGCCCCGAATCGGCACCCCTTCCTTGTAGACGGCGTCTGGACTTGTGTAGAGAAGCTCCTCGCCAGCTGCATTGCGCCAGCTGGTCAGGTGCGCGCCCTGCGTGTGCACCGTGATGGAGGAGCCATCGTCGTGCTTTGCCACAACAACCGATTGGTCCATTGAACCCAGTTGGCGCGACACTTGAAGTGAAAAGACGCACAGAGCCACAAAAAGAACTTGACTCGCTTTTGTTTGTTATTCGCCTGGAATTTCGCAGTAACAGATACCCTTTAAGCGTAACGCTGAGGCAGGAAGAGAACCAAAACCAAACGAAGTT